GAAACAAGTGCCAAAAAATTGGGCTTTGGGTGTTGGTGTGGTGATCTATTCCAAAGAAATGGTTGGAATCTAGCAAAATCGGGATTCAGGAATAGGATAGGCAGTCTTCAAGGGATCCCAGATCTCTAACAAATGTAATCAGTTACATCAGCATCAGGGGCAAGATAGTTGCTGTTGATCCAGGACTGATTCATTTTGATAAATGTCAGCTGGTCAATGGAGTCTGTGGACAGACGCACTCTTTTATCCATTACAAAACCTCCAGCAACACTGAATATCCATTCTGAAAGCACGCTGGATGCAGGACAGGCCAGTATCTCGATGGCGTATTGAGCAAGTTCTGGCCAGTGATCCATCCTCAAGACCCAGTAACCCAGTGAATGCTCAGTTGGAAAGGTATCCAAGTCTACTCTTGCCCCTAGATAATCCTGCATCATATGATGCAGATGCTGCTGATGGGTGCTTAAACCTAACAGTCCTGGGCGCTGAGGACTAAAGAACTGTTTAAAGGCATCGGTCAGCCAGCCGCCTTCTCCACCGCTCTTCCTTTGACAGAACAAAGCCTCAGAAACATGTTGTCTAGGAAATGTTAACCTCTCATTGTCTGGAAAGGTGCTACGCAATATTTTTTTAAGGGGATCTCAAGATGTTTCATCCTCTTCTTCCTCTGCGAAGACTGGATAAACTCTTGTAACGTGAATCAAGAAGGGTTGCCAAACAGTATTGATCCCTCTCTTTGATAACACAAATCCTCTGGTCCTTATGCAGGCTTTGCAGATCAGGGAGCCTATGCAGCATAAGTTTGAGGAGGCAGGAAATTCTGAGTCCTCCCGGTGCTGAGGATGACATTGTCAGGAACTACCTCCTCTCAGCCATGTATTACTCCTGTCTTCTGGAGTTTCTGGAGACTAAATACCGCCCCTTGAAGACTGCTGTATGTGATCCTCTAATTTCATGCTGCTGCAATCCTCCTCCTCATCTTCCTCCTCCTCCTCCTGCTGTGTGTTCTGTGGCCCCGCAGGAATGGTTTCTGCATAAAGGGGGCCTTGAGAGGACAGGAAATCCTCCTCTTCCTCCCCCTGTTCTGCCTCAAGTGCCCTATCCATGATTCTATGCAGCGTGTGCTCCAGCAGGAAGACTAGAGGGATAGTGTCACTGATACATGCAGTGTCGTGGCTCACCATCCTTGTGGTCTCCTCAAATGGTGACAGGACAGTGCATGCATCCTTTACCAGCAGCCACTGGTGTGACGAAAAGAATCCAAGTTCCCCTGAGCCTGTCCTTGTGCCATATTCACACAGGTGCTCATTGATTTACAGCATTGCCAAAGTATAGTGGGCATGTTACAAATGAGTTGGTTGGTGGGCAGGTTGAATTCCCGTTTAATTTCGGCCAGCCAAACACTGGCCATGTATGACGGAAATGGCCTCAGACTTTTCTGGCCTGCCTCAGAAGATCTTGACAGCCTGGGTACCTGTTCAAAAAATGCTGCACCACCAAATTTAGGACATGTGCCAAGCATGAACTATGTGTCAAGTGTCCCTGTCTGAGGGCGGAGGGAAGGTTGGTGCCATTGTCGCATACAACCATTCCTAGCTCAAGCTGCCATGGTGTCAACCACCTCTGAGCCTGCCCCTGCAGAGCTGACAAAATCTCTGGCCTGGTGTGGCTCCTGGTCCCTAGACAGACAAGCTGAAGAACCTTTTAGCCTGACTACTTGCGTAGCCCCTTGAACGCCTTCAGGGCACTGTTAGTTCAGATGACAATTCAGCAGAAGAGGCCATAGAGGCAGAGGAAGAGGAGGGGGTGGAGCAAACAGATATGGCAGAATCACCACTAGGTTTTTGGAGGCATGGTGGCAGAACAAGCTCCAGCACTGAGCCCTGTCCTGTGTCCTTCCCAGCTGCTTGCAGAGTTACCCAGCGAACCTTAAAGGATATGTAATGTCCCTGACCGTGCCTGCTGGACCACGTGTCAGCAGTAATATGGACCTTGCTGCTGACCTCTCTGTCCAACGAGGCCAAAAGATTGCCTTCCACATGATGGTACAGAGCTGGAATGGCCTTACATGAAAAGAATTGTCTTTTCCGAACCTGCCACTGTGGTACAGCACATTCTGCAAACTCATGGAAGGGGTCAAAGTCCACCAGATAGAAAGGTAGCAGTTGTAACCCTAGGAATTTGGCCAGGCTAGCATTTAGACACTGAGCATGTGGATGGGTGGGACAGTATTTTTTTTTATGGTTCAGCAACTGGGGTAGCAAACTTTGCCTGCTGAAATCAATAGGTGGTGTACTGCCATTAGATGGGGTGCCAGGACCTGTGGCACTCACTGCTGTACCATCGCTCCTCTCAGTGGAGGCTGTTGAGAAGACCTGACATTATACAGTAGAGGTAGAGATCCCAGATGAGGAGCAAGAAGAAGTCTGCACTTTTTTCGGATGTGGGTCTTTCAGGTGCTGTTGCTAACGGGCTGCATGGCAGCTCGTCATATGTCTTGTCAAGCATGTTGTGCCCAAGTGGCTGGTGTTTTGACCACGCTTGATCTGCTTCAGACAGTCTGCTGCACATGTGTTGAAGGAAGCCCACACCAGAGAACTTTTAGAAGTCTGGCAGGAGTCAGCAGCACCCTGCACACCTGTGGAGCGCTGTTGTGTGATGTCATCGATTGGCTGCCCTTACGCCTGCCCCTGGAGAACATCCTGCCTCATTGGAATTCTGCCTCCTCCTCACTTTCCTCTCTGTTCTCTCAGGCACCCAAGTATAGTTAGTGAACTCAACATCCCCTTCCTCCTCGTCACTGGAGCCAACTTGGCAGTGTGCTGCAGCTGGGGGAACATGACTGCCAATTTCTTTTCCCTCACTGGCACCCCCTCTCTCTAGGCTCATGTCACTCCTTTCCTCAACCTGGGAACCAACATCGGAGCATTCAAATTGCTGCGCATTCTCCAGCAGCATGTAACTGACACTACGATCAAATAATTCTGGTGACTACTCCGTGCATGATGGTGGGGCTACGAAAGGAGCAGCTGTGGTGGACAAGGAGCCTGAGGAATAGGCCGCTTTGGCAACTGCAGTGGAAGACAAAATAGTATGAGTCTGGGTGACAGAGGATGAGGAGGATGAGGATGGATTAGTTATCCACTTCACCACCTCTTCTGCATGTTGTGGCTCAATAATAAATACGCCCCAGCATCGGAAAAAAAATGACAAGCGTGCCCTGCCTACAGAGCATACACCATGTCCACGACCACTACTTTTCACTGTGGACACAGAGGCTGCTTGCCCTCTCTTCGCTACCTGTGAGCACCTGCCTCTCCTTCGTGGCCTTTTGGACATGATGGGGATTTTTTAGGTGGATTTATATCACTTTATTTTTCTGTGCAGGATGGGATTTTTGGTGCTTGGGTGCGCTATAAACTGCTTTATTATTATTTTTTGTTCTTATAACATTGAACAAGGCTGCTCCTATAACACACTACACAAGGCTGCTGAATAAGCAGCCTTGTATAGTGTGGGGCGTGGCCCCTGAGCCATGATTGGCCAAAGTCACCAAGACTTTGGCCAATCATGGTTCTTCCTGTGAACTAGAGCTGTGATTGGCCAAAGCATTGCACCTGACCTGTGGTCAGGTGCAATGCTTTGGCCAGTCACAATGCGCCGCCAGAGGGCATTGCTTTGTGGGGCGTGAACATCCCACCGAACGCCCCATATGTTCATGTGTTTGGTGAACACACAAACAGCCAATATTCAGTCTCTTCTCGCATTACTAACCTAGTAAGCAACATATCGGCATGGATGTCACTCCACTTCCTCAAACTCGCTGTCCAAATCTTGTAGACTTCACCTCTGCAACATCTCCAAGATACGGCCGTTCTTAACCTCGGAAACCACTAAGCAACTTATTCACTCCCTGGTTATCTCTCGACTTGACTATTGTAACTCCCCCTCCTCATTGGCCAACCTCATCGCAGGCTATCCCATCTTCAAACTATCATGAATGCTACTGCCAGACTCATCCACCTTACTAACCGTTCTGTATCTGCCACCCCTCTCTGCCAATCCTTCCACTGGCCTCCACTCAGTGTCCTCCACCCCTCTCTGCCAATCCCTCCACTGGCATCCACTCAGTGTCCTCCTCCCCTCTCTGGCAATCCCTGCACTGACTTCCCATTGTCCAACTGATAAAATTCAAAACATTAACAATAACATATAAAGCCATTTATAACTCCACCCCAAATTACATCACCAATCTTGTCTCCAAATATCACCCAAACCGTCCTCTCCACTCCTCGCATGACCTCCTGCTCTCTAGCTCCCTTGTCTCCTCTTCCCTTGCTCATCTCCAGGACTTCTCCAGAGCTTCCCCCATCCTCTGGAACTCTTTACTCCAATTTATCAGACTGTCGCCTACTCACTTTTAGGCGATCTCTGAAAACCTCTCTCTTCAGGGAAGCCTATCCTGCCTTCAGTAAATAATGGAATCTTCTACTCCTCCAACCAGTCCATCCCCCACAGTTACTATCTTTTGTACCACCGGCCCCTCCCTCCTAGATTGTAAGCTCCCAGGATCAGGCCCTCCTAACCCTCTTGTATTGAACTGTATTGTTGCTGTATTGTCTCCCGTTATATTGTAAAACTCTGAGCAAACAGTTGGCGCCATAAATCCTGTATAATAATAATAAATAACCTCTGTATGGACAGTGCTGATTGGCCTTTTGCTGATCACATGCACCCTCCCGGAAAAAAAAAAAACTTCTCTAGCAATACACACCAAACTGAGCATGTGCATAATGTCTCCACATGATATGTCTTATCAGGCGAATTCAGGATCTAACAGCATTTTTACACAATGGAGAGGATTAACCTCTTAGGTTCCACAGTATATAACAAGCACGCTTTGCTGCATGTAAAGATGGATCGTACTGTTGTGGGTTTAAGTGAAATTAGCCTTTAGTATAGAAATATAGAAAAATGAATAACTGTCTTTCCTTGTACAGTTAAGCCGCAGATGGCACTGAGCCATAATCAACAGGTTGAAGGTGGAATCACGGATCTGTCCGTTGTGAAGTCAGCAATTGTTACCCAGAAGCTGTGAAGATCCGATGGGTTAAATCCAGTAAAAGTAACAGCAGGAGCTCACCTTGGGACAAGGACGTTTATTTCACAACACCTTTGGGGAACAGCGATGGGACATTTAGTGTGACCAGTGTGCTGATTGTGGAGCCGTCTACAGACGCTGAACCCGGAGATGTATTCTTCTGTATTGTCAGCCACAGATCCCTGGAGGAGGAAATGACTCTCAGCTTTACCATGCCAAGTAAGTAGCCTTAGAATAGGATATCAGCAGAATTCGGCTCCGACTACCTTCCACAAATCACAGATCTTTCAGATTAGATCCAGAGATTTCTCAGCGTGATGTTTCCGAAACACCAAATACTTGGGCTGCATTCACACCCCAGGAAAAGCGTTTACAGGTGATTTTGGAATGTTTTTTTTTCTCTGCATCTCTTTTTTTTCAGATGTATTCAGGCTTGGGCAATTTTATTTCAGCCAATGGAAAGCTAGTTACTAGGAGGAGGAGAAGGTTATTTATGTTTTAAAAAAATATATATTCAGGCACTCCCACTGAAGTCTAGACATGTGCAGAACAAAATCATTAGTTTTGTTTCATTTCGGATCAAATCGTTAAGTTACTAATTTCATTTTTTCTCATTAACCTCTTGCCGACCGCGCATAGCCGAATGACGGCTTCACCGCGGCCGGCCAGTTCTGAGTGCACGTCATATGTCGTCCTCCCAGAACGCGCTCTCCTGTGCGCCCCAGGGGGCGCGCACCCGGCGATCTCCGTGATCAGCTGTGTCCTACGGACACAGCTGATCACGAGATGTGGTAAAAGGCCGATCATACCGGCCTTTTACCACGTGATCAGCGGTGTCCAATGACACGCTAATCACAGGGAAATGCAAGTGCCGGTTCTTGGCTGCACTTTCCTCACGCTGTCAGATCGTGAAGAAAGTACTGCCGAGAACCGGCAGTTGTCAGAGCGGATATCGGCACCGATCATCAGGGCACTGATGATCAGTGCCCTGATGATCGGTGCCCAGCAGTGACACCCGCAAGTTCCGCCCAGCAGTGCGCCCACTAGCTCCGCCCACCCGTGCCCAGCAGTGCCCCCACCTGTGCCCAGCAGTGCCCCCACCTGTGCCCAGCAGTGCACCCACCTGTGCCACTCTGCAGTGCCACCTACCTGTGCCTAGAAGTGCCACCTACATGTGCCACCCACCTGTGCCCACCCACCTGTGCCCACCAGTGCCACCCACCTGTGCCCACCAGTGCCACCCACCTGTGCCCACCCACCAGTGCTGCCCACCAGTGCCACCCACCAGTGCAGCCCAGCAGTGCTGCCAGTCAGTGCCACCAGTCAGTGCCCAGGGGTTGTGCCAGTCAGTGCCGCCAGTCAGTGTCCAGCAGTGAAGCCAGTCAGTGCCGTCTATCAGTACCCATAATCAGTGTCACCTATCAGTGCCGCCTATCAGTGCTGCATATCAGTGCCGCCTATCCGTGACCCCTAATTAGTGCTGTCTATCAGTGCCGCCTATCCGTGCCACCTCATTAGTACTGCCTATCAGTGCCCTTTAGTGCTGCCTATCAGTGCCCATCAGTGCCGCCTATCAGTGCCCATCAGTGCTGCCTCATCAACGCACATCAGTGAAGGAGAAAAAAAATACCTGTTTGAAAAATTTTATAAAAGAAACAAATAAACTTTTTTTTTTTTTCAAATTTTTTGCACTTTTTTTATTTATAGCGCAAAAAGTAAAGCGCCCAGTGGCGATTAAATACCACCAAAAGAAAGCTCTATTGGTGAGAAAAAAAATGATCAAAATTTCATATGGGTACAATGTTGCATGAAAGCGCGCAATTGTCAATCAAAGTGCGGCAGCACTGAAAGCTGAAAATTGGCCTGGTAAGGAAGGGGGTATATAAGTGCCTGGTAGGCAAGTGGTTAATAACAAAATTTGTTTAGTTTATTCACTTTTGACCAGATTCAAATTTTTTCAATGGATTCAAATTGGAATCAAATTCATAATCAAAAATATTTAATCGATCCAAATTCATTGTGAAGAATAGCTGATTCTATTCTATTCACAATTCAAATTTCAGAAGATTGCTATATTTTTTCTATTCTACTGTATTTTATTTTTCTATTCTATTCTTTTATTTTCTATTCTATTCTTTTCTAATCTATTTTATGATATTATATTCTTTATGAAGTTTGGAAGACAGCTATATTCTATTCTATCAACTTCTTTTCTTTTCTCTTCTATTCGTTCAAATTCGAATTTCAGAAGATGGCTAAGTGGTTAGCACTTCTGTCTGGCAGTATTAGGGTCGCTGGTTCAAATCCCAACCACAGCACCACCTTCCTGGAGTTTTCATGTTCTCCCTGTGCCTGTGTGGGTTTCCTCCCACACTCCAAAGACATGCTGGTAGGTTAATTGGCTCCTGTCTAAATTGTCCCTAGTATGTGTATGTATGAATGTGAGTTAGGGGCCTTAGATTGTACGTTTCAGGGTTAGGACTGATGTGAATGTACAATATATATGTAAAGCACTGCTAAATTGATGGCGCTATATAAGTACCTGAAATAAATATTCTATTCTGTTCTTTTTTATTATTTTATACTCTACTCTAGTCTATACTCTTCCTTTATTTTTCTATTCTATTCTGTTTTAGTAGTCTATTCTTTTCGTTGGATGCAGTGTTGTAAAGCACGCCGCCACTGATCCATAAAGACACAGATGAGTGAGTTTGGGGTGGAGAAACTTGACTGGCCTGCACAGAGTCCTGACCTCAACCCCATAGAACACCTTTGGGATGAATTAGAGCGGAGACTGCGAGCCAGGCCTCCTCCCCCGACATCAGTGCCTGACCTGACAAATGTGCTTCTGGAAGAATGGTCCAACCTTCCCATAGACACCCTCCTAAACCTTGTGGACGGAGAAGAGTTGAAGCTGTTATAGCTGCAAAGGGCGGGGCCAACTCAATATTGGAAGGGAGTTTCAAAGGGCAGGCCAACTCAATATTGAACCCTACGGACTAAGACTGGGGGGGGTACTAAGACTGGGAGAACTGCTATTAAAGGTCAATGTGCTAAGTGGTAGAAAGGCATTTTTTGGAAAGGGAGAGGCAACTCAATATTGAACCCAATAAGACTTTAATTGTGGTGGAAAGGCAATATAGTATATATCTTCTCAGATGCTTAAATTCCAAATTTTGGAACACCCATGGCTTCTATACACTGCAAACCATAAGCGTGTCTGTACACCTTCACCGGATGTGCTCTCACCTGATGTATATGACCAAACCACTAGGTGAGGTCATAAATGGCCCGTGTCCCTTCTATGGACTGATGTCTTGAGTCCAATGGGCATGAATCTCCTCCACTCTCTTAGCTCTCCTCCTCCATCAAATATGCACCGAAAAGACATGACCAAAACATAGAGCTTTATCCTTACAAACATTTATTAAAAAAACAATATCCAGTATTCCCATCACATGTGTGTTGTATTAAAGTGCATCTTGTAAAGTAACTCTAGTGACACCCCACCACAATGACAGCCTGCTAAAATGTCAAAAAACCGACGTGGATGCTGGGTGATGTCACTCACCAAATATGGTCATGGCCAGTTTTGATCAATGACATCATGCAGGACCCCTGCCATCGTGTTTACAATGTGAAACAACCTGTAAGGTACCTGGTGGTAGAACCTGAAGTGCAGGAAGGCTTCCCTTGCAGCTCTGGCTCAGGGGCCCTGGTAGAGTAACAGGGAGTGCACGGAGCACAGAGGTGCACGAGTGCCTGGTAGGACTTCTGTGGATGGATGTTGACGTGCGTCAGGAATGCAGGAGCAGCTGGTGGATGGCACACTGGCAGAAGTGCAGGAGCAGGATACTGGCAAGGATAAGCCGGTTCAGGTGCAGGAGCAGAGTAAGGCAAGGTCAGGCGGTCCGGGTCGGCAACTAACAGGCAGAGTAAGCAGAAACGGCAGGCAGAAGAATAGACAGAGGGCAGGCCAGGGGTCAGTGCAGGCAGAGTTCAAGCAGGATCAATAACAGGTCAGATCAGCAACGGAATCACAGGTCACAGGATGCACAGGTGCTCAAAAGTAATAGACCAAAAAGGCACCAATGCAAGGTACGAGCCCAACTTTAAATAGGGGTGTTCTATGGGGTTGAGGTCAGGACTCTGTGCAGGACAGTCAAGTTCCTCCACCCCAAACTGGCTCCTCCATGTCTTTATGGACCTTGCTTTGTGCACTGGTGGGCAGTCATGTTGGAACAGGAAGGGGCCATCCCCAAACTCTTCCCACAAAGTTGGGAGCATGAAATTGTCCAAAATGTTGCCTTAAGAGTTCCCTTCACTGGAACTAGGGGGCCAAGCCCAACCCCTACACCATAATCCCCCCTCCACCAAACTTACACCAAACTTTACACTTGGCACAATGCAGTCAGGCAAGTACCATTCTTCTGGAAACCGCCAAACCCAGACACATCCATCGGATTGCCAGACAGAGAATTATGAT